TTTGAGATATGAATTTTTGATGATGACCCCAATTTTTAATATGATGATTTTTTGAAACATGATATACAAAAATTAATATAATTGAAATTTTTTGTAATTCAAAGTTGTTCCTGATGATGAATAGACTCCGAAACCGGTAAAGAAATGAAATTAAAAAAATATCGACAACTTCTAATTTTAATTTATTAATAACTTTTATGAAAAATCGAATTCTTTATAATATATACTAATTTATATATTATACTTAATAAAATTTTTATAAAATATTCACCATTTATAAATAAAAGTATCAGCTTTCCGATGCAAGTTGCCGTTTATAAAAATTATTTGTAGTTTCTGAGATATGAGTTAATAATAATAACATAAAGTTCGTTTTTTAATTAATTTAAAAAAAATCTAAAAAATTGGTTTCTTTGAAAATGTGATAAAACATCCATGGAATGATTAAATTAAAGCTTCTACTTTCCAATAAAAAAATCCGTTTTGAAAAATAACTTTTAATTTTTGAGATATGAATTTTTGATGATGACCCCTATTTTTAATATGATGGTTTCTTATAAAATGTTATAAAATTTCCACTAATTATTAAATTAAAGCATTGATTTTTAGAAAAATCACTTTTAGTATATGAAATATACATTTTTAAAGCCTTATTATATTTAGATCATGAATTCACCCTCAAATATAAATACATAGATGCGGATACATTTTTGCCTATCGGTCCGGAAACCGCTTTGATTTATTCATGGACTTTGGAGTGGACCTCTCCCCACTCGAAAAAGAGCGTACTTCGGTCCACCATATTTCATTGGAATTACTGGCGGCTGACCAGAGAAGAGAACATTATAACATGTAAATGCGCATAACCCTTACGGCAACGCCTCATTTACTTTTTGCACATTACAAAAGGGACTTACATAATTCCTACGTTGTATAATGTGCGGGACCGTTGAGGGTCGTTTTGTGGATTTCGACCCCTCCTTTTAACCGAAAACCATCAAAGACCAATCGATCATCCGTCAAATCTTTCACTCTTTTCAATCAAAATCAAATCACATTAAACGTGTTTGATTAAAAGTGGAAAATATTTTTTTTATTTTAAATGAGAATGATTTACTAGGTGTCATGATAATTATGATCAATGTGGTAAAGTGGATATGGTTTCCTCAATAATTGTGGTTAATAAGGGAGTAAAAAAATAAAAGTCCATCGTTGTAATTATAGACGACCCCCGTGGTTTTCTCCTTGAGGGTGGATTATTATTTTCGCCCGATACTAAATAATAACGGCTTGAAAAAGCATACTACCCCCGACGCTCGTTAGCGGCGATAATAAGTCCTTAATTTCGAGCGATTTAATTAAAAATTACCGGCGAACGCCACCCCAATAATAAATCGCTTCCATTTGTGTTGAGGGGGTGGTAGTAACACGAGCGGAGAGTGTAAATAATAGAATCCCCAACGCCCGTGCCGATAAACGTATGATTGAAAGGTCGCCTTTTTGGCCCTTGGGACGTATTTGGCTTGTCAGAGTCCTTTCCCGCGAATTTATGTGACCACTTGACGGAACAATGGTTGTAGGTGCGTCCTCTTATCTTCAAACCAACCCTCCGCCACCCCTCACACAAAACCGGCAATTCACTCTCTCAATCGGCCTCCAAATGTATGCAAATTGAATATTTCTTTCGCCTTCCGAGATAGGATTTCTTATCGGCGCTTATGAGCCGCTTGTGTATCTTTTGTTCCGCGTCCTTTATTGATTTTTTCGCGTGATTCAAGTCTTTCAAAATCAACCACATACCAAGCCGACACCGTCACCCATTGGTCGATATTAGCAAACCCCATATTTCCCACGCATCGAACAGAACCAGGATGTATTCGATGAATTTATCTCAATACTCAAGGATAAATTCTATTCCAACCCATCCTAATTAGATCGTCGTATGACTTATTGGCCGTTCCGTCGACGCCCTCCTAATTACGCTTCACTACGACAATCATGTATTTGTTTCCTCAAATCGCTCATTAGCCCTTTTTTTATCCCGAACCACTCATTAAAAACGAATCAGTCGTAATATTTCATTCGTCGTTAACTTCGTTTATTAAAAGACCTAAACATTAACTTTGAATTATTTTGTGTTTTTTTTTAAATTGAACAATCAGCTCGAAAAAAGGTCGATCGATGTTATTTGAGCGTCATTAAACTTTCGCGTTTAATGAGATCCATTTCGAACGAAGACAATGATCACCGCGACCATTGTCCCTCAAGTATCATTCATAAGTTTGAAACTCATTTACAAGTCAAACACGCGTCGGGACGGTTGGGACGTCGGTGTCCAAGCCTAGTGAGGTGAGTGTTTGTACTGCTCTCGAATGGTCAGTATTGTTCTTAGCAGTTGTTGTTTAGGACAAAACGAAAGGGTCAAAGAATTAGAGAGACCTCGTTTTTCAGGCATTTTCAAAGCGGGACTAATCATCAAGTGATTGTTGTTGAAGATATGGGCGGGGAGTTAAATAAATACAATAAATTAAGAATTCAAAATTAATTATTGAAAATTTTTCAAATAAAAGATAAATCGAGGTTTCAGTGTCTCGATCTATTTGACGTCCATTATCGACTTAGTTGCCAAGGCAACAGAGCGAGGACAGTGCTGAAGGCGTTTGCATTTGGCAGGGCTATGGGCATTTCATGACGTATCAATTTCGGCATTATTGCCACCGATACACCGATCTCCGGTATCCCTTTGACAAGGTCTGTTACATCAGTACAGATACGGCATGTCTCCCGTATAATGGATCTGTGGCAAATATTTGTACCCAATTTGATTCCAAAATAAAAATAATATATAAAATTTACGTATTATGAACCACTCAAGGTTCAAATTTAAGTGTAACTGAACACAATAAGAATACAACCCAAAACTTAATCATCACATTGCTGCGCTTCGGCTGCAAAGCAAGTAAAAGATTCTTTGATTAAGGTTAGCCGAGGTTCTACAATTAATATCATATCTACTCAGATGTAGCGCCTCGGCCGCAAGCGACTTCGGCTAACCTTCAGCAAAAAATTTAAAAAAATTTGGTTTCTTCCACGAATTATTAAATTAAAGCTTCTACTTTCCAATAAAAAATAAGTTTTAAAAAAAACTTTTAGTTTTTGAGATATGATGCGATTGTTAGAAAAAATTGGTTTTTTGAAAAATTTTTATAAAATTCTCACGAAGTATCAATAAAAGTATACGCTTTCCAATGCAAGTTGCCGTTTAAAAAAATCATTTTTAGTTTCTGAGATACAAATTAATAATAATAACAAAGTTCGATTTTTGATTAATTTTAAAAAAATTCTAAAAAATCGGTTTCTTTGAAAATGTGATAAAACATCCATGAAATGATTAAATTAAAGCTTCTACTTTCCAATAAAAAAATCCGTTTTAAAAAATAACTTTTAGTTTTTGAGATATGAGTTTTTGAAGATGACCCTAATTTTTAATATGATGCGATTGTTAGAAATAATTCTTAAAAATTGGTTTCTTGCAATTTTTTTTATAAAATCTTCACTAATTAGCAGTTAGACGGAATGAAGGATTCTCTGCAAAAGATTTACATAAAATCAAATCATATCATATCAACCCAAAATTTATGAAAATCTTAGGGCAGAAAACCTATGTCTTCGCCTGGTTATGCCGAGGTTGCTTGGAGTTCTGGAACGATATCTAGATTATATAGAGTATTGAGATAAAAAGATTTATTTCTATATAATGGAAAAACATTTTTTGCTTTGTAATACTATGGTGATATGTTTGTTCGTAATTGACTTGGTGTCATGACAGAAAGTAAAAAAACGGGGTACATGCATGCCAGTCGTGCCCCAATTAATTCACTACAACCCTTAATCAAGCGGACCGCTTATTGAATTGTCCCGGCAATAAAGTGATAGTTAGGCCTTTTTCGAGGCCGGCAAAAAGCAAACAACTACTCAATTCACCGGCATAATTACACGACCCTCGCGGCAAGCACTCGTCCGATACATTCATTGCAATGGGAAGCCACCAATTTTTGGGGGGGTGAATAGCGTTCGTGAAAACACGGGCTTTTGAAGCGCGAGCTTTTTGGAACGTGAGAAAAACTAGATTTCGCGTTGAGTATCGATTAGCGGGTGCGCTTTGTTGTGGCAGACGGAGTCACACACAAAGGTAAAGCTAAAGCAGGATTCCTGCTCGAAGAAGTGACTCATCGTGCAGGCATTTCCGGACGGAATTGGGTCGATGCTTTTCCCTTATATGTGTTTCATAATAACGTTCTTTTCTTTACTATGTTTGTTTTTCACACTTCCAAGCACTATCTAAAATGTTTTTAGTAAAAACGTAAACAAGAATAAATTTGGAAAGAAATAAAGATGAAGTAAGTTTAATTACAAATTGGATAGTAATCTTAATCGAAAGCTATTAAAATGTAATAGATCATCCATCAAATTTGAGTCCCAATAAAAACGGAGCGGTTCTCGTTCTGCAGGTCGAAGAAGAAGAGGATAATGCATTCCTTATCTGAGCGAAATTTGCCCCGGAGGGCAATAAAGAGCGGCTCCTCCTTTTATTATTTATCGGCGAAACAAAAAGCAGGAAGGGAGCCCGAAAGCGGCTACCGGAATCAGCCGTCGTAACACGGAACAAACTGTCAGCAGGGGCGGTTATGGGGTCATCATCTCACATATCGGCGAGGTAAGAGTGTCCGCAGTCGTCGGTCCATAATACAGTAATCTGGAAACTTGGGGACCAAAGGCCATAACCATAACTATAACTCACCGCCGCCCCCACCAATCAATACCCTCTCATCAAGCGACCACTGCCGCCGCGAACCTTCTACGAACGGCGCCTCAGTTTTCCACCTGATAAATCAATTAGTCCTGCACACCCCATATCGTAAATACTCTTGCTGTCCATCGTATATTTTTATTCGTTTCCGTTATTTCCAAGTGTTTCTTTTATATGATTAAAGATGATATAGGGTTTGAAATTATTTATTATAGTAAATACCCAATTAATAATTACAAAAAAATATACACAACAAAATAATCGAGAAAGCAACATTAATTAATTGATTAGAAAAACAATTAGGGACGTCTTAACATCCAAGTGGAGGCATCGGGAAGTGATCTTCTTCTTTGGTAATGATGAACCAAGTTGGGTATATAAAAGTAGCTGGAAGTAGATGATATGTTGGACGTTTGGCTGGCATTGGTACTGGAGCTGGACGTGTTCTGAAAAGACAAAAAAAAGAAAAAGTAAGATCGAGTCGAGAGGAAATGAAGTGAATTTACATAAAGGAGTAATGATTTCGCGTTGGCTATCGCGCGGATCGTCCAAACTGGTCCGGGAGATATAAATCATGCGATCGCGCGCGACTCTGGCGCCCAACGAAATCCGTCTTGGCTATTAGATTGATGCTACCGGGCTTTAAACGAGCCGGAGCGCGCACACGCAGGTGTCCAAGTGAAAAAGCAAAGAGGCAAGAGCTTGCCCGCCGTAACGTTTCGGTAGATAATCGCCCTTAACGAAATATCGGTTCGGAGAATAGGGCGTAATGACATATTACGGGAGGAAGGCGGGCTATAAATAAGGAATCCGAGACGCAGCGCAGACCGAGGTTGGTAGGCAGTTATTAAAAAGTTTTATATCGCCCACCGTTTTAAAGAATTCATTTCATGCTACTTGTGTTACTCGTAGAATCAGGTTCTGACCGCGCAATTTATGTGCCCCGTTCCCGAGATACTACTCTGCCCACTGCTTGCTGCTATACACGCCTCAAAGTATCGTCTCGTACAGGACCGTATTTGTAAGGATTACTTTGTTTTCCTTTCCTCACCTGGCAAATACCCCCAGCCGTTCAACTATTATGCAAATAAAAAATTATCCACGCCAATCACCCCCGGGGTGGCTTTTCGCTTCCACTTAAGGCGCACGCACTTATTGGATTAGCATACCAATTAGGTTTTCGATCGACGCCGATTTATCGCCTTCGCATTCGTAGCCGGGAGAAAACGTATTGTCACCACAATCGTTACTACAACCGCGCCCCCGTAAAAAGCTCGGGGATAAAATCGCCACTCACGCTTCGGAACCGGGAAATGCGGGAAATATGTTCCAAGCTTGCAAGTCACCGCCCTGATGGCCAACACTGACGGTCCAAGACGAGGCTCGGCTAATTGAACGAAAGAAATGAATTAATGTTGGCCGCATCATCAATTCAATTCCGAATCTCCTTGATTGAAACCAAACTCTCCTAATCATTTCTTCGCGAAATTCGTTCAATAAACACATAAAATATTTTTGTTTAATATGAAGGGTGATGTGTCACATAATACTGTAACAGTCATTAATCAAGGGATGTGACGTATTATCTGCATTCGCCATGGTGGCTGGATGTTCGGTAATGTCATGTCATCGCTGGTAGACCGAGAGGCTTGATTACATCTTCTATACGCAATTAGTATTGGTAATATTCAATCGAATGGCTGGTCGTATATCGTGCGCGCACGTGCTAGTTTAATTACGCGCAATTAGGGATTTTCTTTTTAAAAAAGACGTTAATGATCGGTTAATTTCGATCCCAGAAAGACTTGCAGGGGACTTGTACACCTGTGCGTAATGATCCGTAGACGTAGCTGTGAAGCTTACGTTTTGTGCGTAAGCTTCGCTTAAGCGTCCATTCAGATTTCACCCCATGCGGATCGTCCATCCGTCCGATTTGAAAGACCCGTTGCATTATGTTTACCGGACATCATTATTTGTTATTCGTCGAAGCCTCCCTTTCACACGATCATTGTTTCAGGGCGACGCGTGAAAACGCGATGTCTCTCTGGCTGTTAGTGTAATTGCCTACGAGTCGTATATCCGGAATTTCATTTGAATACCGTCCCGATAAATTCACACCGATACGGGCGAAAATCATTACGGGTTGCTATCTCGCGAAGGAACGTAAAAAATCGCGCCGTATTTCAAGCAGATATGGAAATATCCGTTCGTAACGCTACCACAGCTTAATATATTACTTAGGTTACTCGGAGCTTGCACTCGCCCCGACCTACACCATTATACCGTATATACCGCTATTAGATTAGACGCTCATAACAAACATGCACGGACATGAATTGAGTTGCTCGCACTTGACAACACATCCAACCACTCAAATTTACTAAAAGCTCAAGAGGTTCTATTTTTATTTATTAAATGTTATTTAAAATATAATAAATTAACTCGAGGTTCAAGACATCTCAAGAAATGCTTTTTAAATTAATCAAAAAATTATGATTAATTTGGACACATCCAAATAAACCCCAGAATGATTCATCTTTAATGAACTCTAGAATTGGTTAGATACCCCTTAGAAGACTTCAAAATTCTTTAAAGTAGTTGAAAGTTCTTTAAATCGCCAGGAAATTTGTTGCTAATCTTCTAGAAATTCTAGGAAGTACTCCAAAAGTCTATGTAAGTCCAAATTCATCTCTAATAAGAGTCAGAAATCGTTAGATATCTCTTAGAAAACTTTAAAATTCATTAAAGTAGTTGAAAGTTCCTTAAATCCCCAGGAAATTTATTGCTAATCTTCTAGAAATTCTCCAAAAGTCCATGTAAATCCAAATTTATCTTTAATGAACTCTAGAATTGGTTAGATATCCCTTAGAAGACTTCAAAATTCATTAAAGTAGTTGAAAGTTCCGTAAATTCTCAGGAAATTATTGGAAAAATCTTGCTAATCTTCTAGAAATTCTTGGAAGTACCTCAAAAGTCCATTTAAGTCCTAATTCATCTCTAATAAGATCCAGAAATCGTTAGATATCCCTTAGAAAACTTTAAAATTCATTAAAGTAGTTGAGAGTTCCTTAAATCCTTAGGAAATTTATTGCTAATCTTCTAGAAATTCTCCAAAAATTCATGTAAATCCAAATTCATCTTTAATGAACTCTAGAATTGGTTAGATATCCCTTAGAAGACTTCAAAATTCATTAAAGTAGTTGAAAGTTCCGTAAATCCTCAGGAAATTATTGGTAATCTTCTAGAAATTCTCCAAAAATTCATGTAAATCCAAATTCATCTTTAATGAACTCTAGAATTGGTTAGATATCCCTTAGAAGACTTCAAAATTCATTAAAGTAGTTGAAAGTTCCGTAAATCCTCAGGAAATTATTGGAAAAATCTTGCTAATCTTCTAGAAATTCTTGGAAGTACCTCAAAAGTCCGTTTAAGTCCAAATTCATCTCTAATAAGAGCCAGAAGTCGTTAGATATCCCTTAGAAAACTTTAAAACTCATTAAAGCAGTTGAAAGTTCCTGAAATCCTCAGGAAATTTATTGCTAATCTTCTAGAAATTCTCCAAAAATTCATGTAAATCCAAATTTACCTTTAATGAACTCCAGAATTAGTTAGATATCCCTTAGAAGACTTCAAAATTCATTAAAGTAGTTGAAAATTCCGTAAATCCTCAGGAAATTATTGGAAATTTCTTGCTAATCTTCTAGAAATTTTTGGAAGTACCTCAAAAGTCCATTTAAGTCCTAATTCATCTCTAATAAGAGCCAGAAATCGTTAGATATCCCTTAGAAAACTTTAAAATTCATTAAAGTAGTTGAAAGTTCCTTAAATCCTCAGGAAATTTATTGCTAATCTTCTAGAAATTCTCCAAACATCCATGTAAATCCAAATTCATTTTTAATGAACTCTAGAATTGGTTAGATATCCCTTAGAAGACTTCAAAATTCATTAAAGTAGTTGAAAGTTCCGTAAATCCTCAGGAAATTATTGGAAATTTCTTGCTAATCTTCTAGAAATTCTTGGAAGTACCTCAAAAGTCCATTTAAGTCCAAATTCATGTCTAATAAGAGCCAGAAATCGTTAGATATCCCTTAGAAAACTTTAAAATTCATTAAAGTAGTTGAAAGTTCCTTAAATCCCCAGGAAATTTATTGCTAATCTTCTAGAAATTCTCCAAAAGTCCATGTAAATCCAAATTTATCTTTAATCAACTCCAGAAATGGTTAGATATCCCTTAGAAGACTTCAAAATTCATTAAAGTAGTTGAAAGTTCCGTAAATCCTCAAGAAATTATTGGAAATTTCTTGTTAATCTTCTAGAAATTTTTGGAAGTACCTCAAAAGTCCAGTTAAGTCCTAATTCATCTCTAATAAGAGCCAGAAATCGTTAGATATCCCTTAGAAAACTTTAAAATTCATTAAAGTAGTTGAAAATTCCTTAAATCCTCAGGAAATTTATTGCTAATCTTCTAGAAATTCTCCAAAAGTCCATGTAAATCCAAATTCATCTTTAATGAAGTCTAGAATTGGTTAGATATCCCTTAGAAGACTTCAAAATTCATTAAAGTAGTTGAAAGTTCCGTAAATCCTCAGGAAATTGTTGGAAATTTCTTGCTAATCTTCTAGAAATTCTTGGAAGTACCTCAAAAGTCCATTTAAGTCCAAATTCATCTCTAATAAGAGCCAGAAATCGTTAGATATCCCTTAGAAAACTTTAAAATTCATTAAAGTAGTTGAAAATTCCTTAAATCCTCAGGAAATTTATTGCTAATCTTCTAGAAATTCTCCAAAAATCCATGTAAATCCAAATTTACCTTTAATGAACTCTAGAATTGGTTAGATATCCCTTAGAAGACTTCAAAATTCATTAAAGTAGTTGAAAGTTCAGTAAATCCTCAGGGAATTGTTGGAAAAATCTTGCTAATCTTCTAGAAATTCTTGAAAGTACCTCAAAAGTCCATTTAAGTCCAAATTCATCCCTAATAAGAGCCAGAAGTCGTTAGATATCCCTTAGAAAACTTTAAAATTCATTAAAGTAGTTGAAAGTTCCTTAAATTCTCAGGAAATTTATTGCTAATCTTCTAGAAATTCTCCAAAAATCCATGTAAATCCAAATTCATCTTTAATGAACTCTAGAATTGGTTAGATATCCCTTAGAAGACTTCAAAATTCATTAAAGTAGTTGAAAGTTCCGTAAATCCTCAGGAAATTGTTGGAAAAATCTTGCTAATCTTCTAGAAATTCTTGGAAGTACCTCAAAAGTCCATTTAAGTCCAAATTCATCTCTAATAAGAGCCAGAAGTCGTTAGATATCCCTTAGAAAACTTTAAAATTCATTAAAGTAGTTGAAAGTTCCTTAAATCCTTAGGAAATTTATTGCTAATCTTCTAGAAATTCTCCAAAAATTCATGCAAATCCAAATTTATCTTTAATGAACTCTAGAATTGGTT